AGAAATATTGGTAAAATATCATTTTTAACACGTTGTAGGCCGCATTCCCACCGGTGAGTCACTCCGCAATGTAGTAAATTTACACATTGAGACAGGTACATCACCCGTGGCCACTTTAATTGAAACAAATCTAGGGGTTAAATAATATCTATATCTGTCTCAAATACATACACTAAAACATATTTAAAAATTAATATACATAATTAACAATAAAAAAAAATATATCTATGTGATTTTTCAATGCAGTCTTCAATATGTTAAACTTATTAATAATCAGATAAAGACATTTCAGAATCAAGCCCATTGGTACAACCAATAGACATAGCATGATGTAGTAACTGGTGTACATTATATTATATACTATGAAACAATGTATGTATATACACACATTTGTTATATATTTAAAATAAAACTGGAATGGTTAGTTAATCAAATATCGTAGCGACATAATTGTTAATTACAGTAATTTTGTAGGTCGTACAAAATTTGTACGATTTTTCTGGTAGATACATTTAATGTACTTACTAGAAAAACCTTGGGAATAAGGGCCTTTGAGAGCTTTATATTATGTATACGTTCTGAATATTGTTCTAGATGAATTTCTTTGATAAGTTACAAGTGTTTGGTATTCCATTTTTTAAATATATAAAAATGTTTTCCTCGATGGAAGTATTATTGGATTAATATTCCATTTGTCTATTTACAGAGATGGAAATTCGTGACCTGCAATTAAACACCTAAACAAGAACTTAACAAAGAATATAAGGAAGAATAGAACATTAATTAAGTAATCAATTTTAGTATTGTAAATATTGACGAACAACTAATAAAATAAATATAAGTAACTAACATTAAGCATTAGGAACTGAAAAACATGTATTTATATTGCTCTGAGTCTGTAATATAAAAAATTTAAGATGATGTTGGAAGTTATGTAAACAGGATTTTACGGTTGTTATTGGAAATGGCCGTGATAGAGGAAATCTATTTATATAGAAAAAATATACATTTTTGAGAAACAATAAAAGCAAACAAAGTAAAACAATGCATAAAGTAGGTAGGTACTGGGTAGGTCTATATCTAGTTTTAAAAACAGACATGTCTGCTATCGTAAGTATTGTGCCAAGCAAGATCAAGTCAAGACACCGTCATGAAGGAGAACTGCTGGCTGAACGGGGTGGTGTAGATATAGTGTCGGCGCTACTATGGCATACAACCGTCGTCAGTGCTGTGACCATAGAGACAATATAGATTTATATATTTTATACGTACGTTAGTCTATAATGTATATGTAATTTATTAAGTACTAAATTTATTTCAACTAAAGGGTCATCCTTAGTTGCCTGAAATAAATTAATAAAATAAAAATATTATACGATAACCGCAAAATCACTTCCTGCTACAAAATAAATTTAAATAATGTAGATAGGATATTAGTATCTGATCAAAGAACATACTTGATAACCACAAAAGTATTATTTAATCAAAACAGTTAATCAATACAGTGAAGCTGTACTTAATGTTCTGATTTTATTTGCAAGTTCACGAGTATATTATAGGACACTAGCTACTTGTCCCGACTTCGCACGGGTGTACATGTAATATTTTCTCTTATTATTTTTATTAAAAACCCCGCTGCAATTTCCGTTGCGTAGTTTTAAAGATTTAAGCATACATAGAGACAGACAGCGACAGCTACTTTGTTTTATACTATGTAATGATAATGATATCCCATAATCGTGTCCCAAACTAATAGTCATATATCATATACTCTATAACCTCCACGAATTCAATATTTATAATACAAGTACTTAGTTCTGTAGTTTAGTCATGAGAATTTTAATGCAATATTGTATTAATAATTAGCTAATTATTATGTAGGTAACTGTTTTTATGTATTCAACAATTTATGTAACATACATTAATTAAATATCACTTCTTATAATGTTTGTTTTTATTACTGTAACGTATAAAATAAATGTTACTAAATTAATTATTTGACTTATAATTATTTTTAATTTTATTTGTTTATCAAAATAAAAACGCTGAGAATAACATGTTTTTTTTAATTTCCTACGTAATGATACCTTAATGAAACAGTCAAAGGAAATATTCATTCATTATGGATTACTGGAGTACCTATATAAAAGACAACGAAATGTCAAAGCATATGATCAATTAAAGTTAGTACATAAAAATTTGATTTATTCTTTATTGAATGGGCTTGGTCTCACCATACCGGGTGGGAAATGATGGTAAGACCTAGTATACAGCGCGGTTATCCAGAAGACATCTATTCACCAGAGATATGAAGAATCCGGGGTTGTATTTCTCCTAATGTTCCATAGTACTGGAAAACAAGCATTTCAACAAGCATGTAATTTTCTTGGTATAGTCTAATTTAATAAAATAATAGTTGAATAACAAGTACATAAATATCTTCACGACTCTCACTATAGATAGGGTAGTTACAGACATTGGGGATAAAGCTAATAGTAATCTGGAATAGTACGACCATTGCTAGCAAGTATCATGTCAAGTTGACCTCAATGTGGACCGCCGGAAACCGGCGCGGTTCATTCCTGCGTATAGCGCCATGATTGGCTAACTGAGCCGAGAATACCGAGGTGCCCTGCCAGCCTATACAAGTCGTAGAAGCAACACTTGACATGCCCACATTTCGCTCGATATATTTAATTCCAACGTGACAAGGGATCAATACACTGGTTTAGTACAGAGTTTTTCAGGTTTAGACTTACTTTCGATGATAGCGGGTTTGATTCTTCGCACGGTACAAACATTTGTATTTATAAGTATGATTGTTTCTATCGTTTGGGTGTTTACTACGTATATTAAATATACATTTATAACAAAAAATGAATCTAAGTTATTCCGTCAGTTGTGTCCACTGTTCATAACACAAGCACTTTCACTTGCGACTATGGCCCTATGTGAATTGTCCAGGGATATTATTATTATATTAGTTTTTATCGCAGTTTCTGTTACACCAGAGTCTATCAAAAATATATATTAGTAGTCTTTAGGCCATATCAGAGAAAAGATAATATTTACACCTGCATATATGACCATGACCTATCTTTCTGAGGCCGGACAGTAACCGACAAGTCAGATGATCTCATTTATGATTACAGTGTAATTACTTATATACACGCACCTGATATTAACGCATGAGGTAGACCCTAAAGTCTTCTGCATGGGTCCCTGGTGGTCCCTGGCAAACCCTGTTTTGGTTGTAGGGTGCGATTAGGTAACGAAAATACAGCTCTGATACTGTTGTTACGTTCCCTGGTATGGCAATACATGGGTGTCATATATTAACGGTATGTCCGTAGTGCGGTTCATATAGGTAACAGTTACTGCTTAGTAACAGCTACGCTGACAGCTTGTTTACCATTCTGTTTACATAAAAAAATGATAAGCTCTACGGACGTTACGTGGCGACGAAAACGTTTTAATTATATTATTCACTAGCTGTTCCTGCGACTTCGTCTGCGTGGAATTTAACTTTATTTTTCTAAAAGTAACCTAAGTTACTCCTTATTATATCAGCTACCTGCGAAAAACAGTCTCATCAAAATCAGTCCAGCCATTTCAGAGATAACCGGAACAAACAGACACACAAAATTGTAAAAAATGTCATATTGGTGTATGTACAGTATTTATATTCATAAGCATGTAGTAAAAATTATTTCAATTTCGGTTATTTCAATATTATAAACAGATACTCCAATTTTATTTATATGTATAGATATGATTAAATTATTATAGATATGATAGCGCAGTGATTGATGACTCATCCGTCATACTCGTGAACGAGTGCTGCTTGTAGGGACTGGCCTGCTCTTATCACTACGACTGATTTAATCTTATTGTATATTTATATTTAAGCCAAAAAAATTTGTGCTGGTTGGTAGTTTATATTCACACGTTTCGACTTGTAAATGTAAACTTACAAGGATTATTTAAAAGAGCAACACACAAGTTTCTTGCTCGTTCTTCTTGTGATGAGACAGCTTTCCAAACAAGTGGTAGATAAAAAAACAAATTTTTATGACTATTCAAAAGTGCTTAAATTAAGTTTATTTGAATAAATGATATTCTATTCTATTCTATGAAGTTAAAAAAACACGAGTGTTCTGTAACGATAGCCAAATACAAACTAAGAAAATTATTTTGATTTCTGCTTATTGATCTAATACAAAAAGTACTTTGTATCTCTACCTACCTAGAAAAGACATGGAGTGAATTCCGTACATAATTATTTTTTAGTTTCAAAAAGATTACGGAGTGAAAATAGAAATACAAAGAATAAAATCATATTACTATAACAATATTATTAAGGTACTACCATTTATCTTTTTTATTGTTGAGACAAGCCTTGAAATATAAAACTAAAATTTGTAGCGGCCAACGAGAATCTGTAATATTTAGATCATAATACATTTTAGAACACTCTATATTTTAAGAAATGTCTTAAGTAATTCAATTTGGTTTCAAAAGAAACCTGCGTGGGTTTGTTTCTCATAAATAAATGTAGGTATAATTAATAAATTATTAAATTATGATATCAAAGACCTGCGACAAAATTCAATTTGAATATTTTCTGAAAAGTAATGTATAGTAATTTGTGGCTACGTTCGGACATTGAGATATATGCAATTATGTACTAGATGAGATACGTTTCTGTTGAAATTAGAATTCATCGGACCTATTCTATTCATGGACCATCAGTTCATCATCAGTGTTAGTTACTCAGAAACAGTACAGAAGAAACAAATTACTTATTCACATAGTGCTATAAAATCCACATGTACTATAAAACAAATAGTTTAATCGAAAAGCCAACAGCACGTATCAACGAATAACAGATGAGGGGTGTCTTTCTTTTAATGTAGAGGTTAAAATATTCAGTCTAATTACTCCAACCAGCGAATGCTGAAAATAATAATTGGGTACCATAAATAATAAAATATATGGGAACGAAAACATTTATTTGCAAGAAACTAAATCACTGATAAGAGTATGCATATCTCCTGCTGTTTACAAAGCATAATTAAAGTAATAAATTACATATAGTATGCAACACAATACGTTCCTAATGAAGACAGTAATATATAAATATTTACATGGCCGGCGACGACGTCACCGAATAATCTTAAAAACTACAATCACCGTATAAATACGATAAATTACCTACAAAAGGTAAATTATATATTTTATTTGGACACAAGCCGCTGTTCAATACATCTCGATTGTGACATTACAATAGTTATTTTACATTTAAGTCTTTATAGTAATCTCTATACAGTAAACTTGTAAAACTTAGAGCAACTGAGATTACATGTCTTCACATAAGCTTCAATTTATTAATCAGCTAAATACATAATTGTAGGTACAATGCAATTGTGATAATGAAACATTTCTAATCTTTTTTAACAACTTCAGAGACAGTAGTAAATGCTTCACTGTCTGTAGTCACTGTCGATGCTGTGGGTTCACTACTTGATACCAAATGCTGGCTGGTAGAACCGTCATTTAGATTTACAGATTCCTTTCGTCTACGGTCTAATGTTAAAGGCTCAATTTGAGCATTAATTGTACTAACGTTTTCAGGATGAGTTACACTTGGCAAGATAAGCTCGTAGTCAATATTCGAACCCGGTGTACCACCGTTGGTACGAGACCGTAACTTGCTTTCATTATCAGCGTTCCTTCTTGCAATCTCTTCTATTTGTATGGCACGGTCGCCATTGGTAACAGTAACAGAAATATCTTTGTCAGTGTTCGTGATATTTTCATTAGATAAAGTTATACTTTCATTGTCATTAGCCATTGGAGTGTTCGTACCCATTGCATTCGTTTCTGGTGGGCTTGCTATCGAAGTGACAACATCACCTGTATGAGTTGTATTAGTTTGTGCAGTAGACACTGATGGTGATGTCTGAGTTGTAGACTGTACTGTATTCTGAACAGTTTGCGTGGTAGACTGAGTCATCGGCGGTGTAGCTTGAGTGCCGGTCCCAGGAGCATCATGATAAGCCGCACCACTAGCCAGTGCCGCAATTCCTGCTAGACCCATCATTCCCATTCCTCGATGAGTGCGCATTAAAAGTTGTTGGAGCTGTGCTTGCTGTAGTATGACAGGCAATTCGTAATGATGGAAAAAGTAAAGCATGGAGTGCTGTAACAAAAATACAACAAATTATTGAATGTAATATAATACAAAATATACTTGATATATCGGATATTGTATGGGGCTTAAGGAAATATATGGCAATAAATAAACGCTAACAAGATAATCCGCCAATAGCAGGCGGCGGGAAATGGCAGTCGGCTGCTATAGATGCCCACAGACGTTCGGGCGGAGATTATGAGACACGTTCGTCGAACTGAGCAAAACTCCTTTAGACAAATAAATGAGTAGCTCGTGACGATGTTGCAGGTTCTCTCGTCTTTATTTATTTATTTCTAGGTCAAAGTTCCCTCCCCTTGCAATGTCCGACGTAAGTTTTAATTAAGAAACTTGTGACCGTCCCCGACTCAACTTTTATTTGAAATTATATTTTCTGATCCCCTCGTTTTGATTTTCTCCGAGTGGCGGTGTAACGGGTTACCGACGAAGACAAGTTGCGACACCTTCATGATTTATTATTCTTAGCGTGCGTCGTGCCAGAAAATTGAAAGAATTTGCACAATCTATTTTGCATCAATATTTTTTTCAATGTTTAAAAGTTGTAGTAGGTACATACATTAAAAAAAAATCTTTTTATATAGAAATAAAATCGAACATTATAATCGTACAATCCAAAATTCAATATTAAATCATTATCATGAGTATCAAAGTTACTCAAATTGACATACAATTAATACAGGGTGTACATGTGTAAATTACACTGGCTTAATTAACACGACCCAATTCTACCCAATCTGTTCGCGGATCATCGCCACAGTAAATATAAAAAAGGATCAAACGTTTAAAAGGTATTTAATGGACAGAGATGATGCCCTTTTATGCGTCCATTAAATCGGTCGCTTTGAGATTTACCGCTAGGCCTGTTAGATAGGTATGTGAATGAAAAAAATGGGGGCTTTTTATCAATTTTCAGATCGTTTGTAGCAGATTACGTAGGCTTAACTTGGATAGACAAAGTAGAATGTTTGCGTTGACTCAGAAATGGTATATTTATTTCTTTTCAGTTTCTTTCACATCAAATAGATTGCTCAGATATAAGTATCTATATAAATTCTTAAAAAAGTATGTCGTTATTCATTTAAAAAGTAAACGGTACATCAGATCTCTTCAAAGGAATTATTAGCTTTTCATTTAACAGAGATGTTGTTATACATAATATTGAATTTACATTTCAGTAAGAAGTCTTGAATTCTAAATATGAAGATTTATTAATGAAGCTTGTACTATAATAACTATCTCTAGTGTGTTGACCTTCAAACTGCACATCATATATTTTATATACTCTAGAGTTAGGTTGCTACAAGTGTAAAAGGACTAAAAAACTGGTGGAACGATTTAACACTTCAAAGGCAGAGAGCTCTTTGTGATGATAAATTTTTAGCCGCAAAATTGCCTTAAACACTTTGCGGACCGCGCGTTGATTATGCCAAGAAGGTAGAAAATCTCTGACGAAAATAATGTTATTTTGATTTAAAATGCAAAGAAAAAACAGTGGACGCTCGGGCATTCAGCGAGACATTTTTTCAGAAACACCCCCTTTTCATTAAACTAATCTTGACGTAGAAGCGAGACTGCAGAAATTATAAGAAAAATACGTTGACTATCTTTAATAACGAAGATTAGGAATGCGTTTGTAATAAAATAAGTAATCATAAAAAAGGCATATTCAGACTAAACTTAAATCTTAAATCAAGGCTTCTTATATAGCACACACATTGTTATATATAACTTAATATATAGGCAACACAATTACGTTTATATACGAGCATACTATAAATGACAATATAGTTGCCTTATATATGTATAACATATATAATATATACATAACACATATATAGAACAAATTACTCATCCAAAGTATAAACTTAAATTAACCCCACAGTCCTTAACTAATGAATGAAATGCAAATGGTTGATAAACTAACAACTGATCAGTAAAATAACACAAACGTTATTAACTTCAATGACACCTAGGATTAATCGTTTACGAGCGTATTTGTACACAACGTAATTAATTCACTTTACATGTCTGTATATAGACACGTATGTAATTTATTTGAACGTAGATATATGTACGTAAATAACAAGCTTGTTAAAAAGTTGGATACGTACACGCCGTACTTTGCAAACGGCAATTACTAATTACTTTAATGGATGTAAAAACATGTTAGCACATAAATCTAGTGACCGTTCCTATAACACAAGGCGTGCCGATCTCTTTAAGTAACACGAATGAAGCTATTTGCAATAGAAAAATCAATTTACTGCAAAAAAACAATTATTGTATAAAGTGTTTAAAACGAAACTTATTCTTTCTTTTAATCACATTTCGTCTTTTAAATAATTTCATTCCATTAAATTTGTCAGTGATTATCTTAAAGTGACATAACATCGTTTCCAACATCTTTTATAAGTATGCAGGTAGAAAATACTCCACACTGTGAGCAGGCGGGAGTGTTTAACTTAAGTTTAACTATAATTTGCAAGAGATCTGGAAGATTACAACACTTTAGCGCGTTTCCATGATGACGGGGCCTTTTCTGTTGATTTAGGACTTGACAGAAATTAGCCGAAGTAGGCCCATTAAAGCTTAGTAACATAAGCTCACGAGTTACTCGCCGTCTATGCATTTCTGTATTATTTCGGAACAGCAAGCACATTAAAGCTGATGGAAAGTTAAGCAATTATTAATTTAACGTTGAAATCTAGTTTGAACCTCTTGTCAACAACTTGTTACGACGGTTTAAAATTAATAATAACGCACAATTCGGGCTGGGTGGACTCGAGCGCCGATGTTATGCGCAGCGCGTCTTCCCGGAGCGGGCAACCTCATGAAATATGATTTTTATTAATAAGTTGACACGCTCGATGATTATAAGATAAGCCCCCACTTTGCATTCCAGAGGGGCTTCTTGTTTTTCGACGTCGCCCTGCGAACGCCGTAATCCAACGAGCCTCGGCCGCCTGCCACGCTGGCGCCTTCCTCTGCTCCAATGTTTCTAATCTAACAATCCCGTTTTCATTATTCCGTTGTTGCACCCTTGTTTACAGGATTAGTTTTAGGCTGATACAAAATGCAGAATTTATAAAGGTGACTTTCATGTCTATTTCTATTTTTCTTGAATGTTCGTATACATAACATGAGCTCAAAGAATAATAAAGCGAACATCCCCGCGGGCACGGATAACTATTAGGTATAGAATACATGGAGGGGACAAGCCCAAACATTCCGGGGATGCTGAGCGTACCGAAGAATTAACTTTTATTTATATATATACGAATATATGGAAGTACCTCTGTAAGGTTTATTGATTTTGAAAAATCATTATAATAACATAGCGTTAGAACTTACACAACTTACAAAATGTAATTAATGTATTACAAAACTATAGATATGAATATAGTTTTTAAGGAAACTTTTCTTAACAACACTCTAAGCTCTTGACCAAGATTTATGGTTAAATAAATGTAGTCAGTACTTTCTTCGGTTTAAATGCTACTCCGTGGGCGAACTTACTTAAAGGTATATTTTAGAAATAAATAGTATATGCAGTATAATTTCCTATCTCTAATATTGAGCAATACTTTCGCGTACTTCCCCTTTTATGCGAGACGAGTACAGCCGGTCCCGCGGCGTGTTATTAACTTCCGCACGGCAAGGTGGCCGGAAATCGACACCGGGTCTATTCCGTTACGGTACACGTTGCACCATCGTCCGTCAGCAATCACCTTTATATTCGTTCATATGCCTTTTCACTAATAATTTCCTTTGACCTATGTCCTTTGACATATATCTCTAACTAGGGTTTCTAATCATTTCTAATTTAAATTACGAGTAAATTAAATTTTTAATATGAATAGTAAAATATTCGATGTATTTATTCGATTCGATGAATCTATTTCGTCTCTCGGTGAATGATATGAAGCTGATATTAATTTAAATATATATGATTTACGCATGAGGATAATCAAGAGTATATCTATGTATTATATTTTGTGAGACAGTATTGGTACATGATTATTTGTATGTTAAAATATACTTATTAATTTTTGTTTTTTTCTACTTCAATTGCAAATGGAGGCGGAAGGCTTTTTAAGTACAATCTCAACATCTATAAGACGATTTGCTACGGCAGCCATAAGTCAGATCTGCCACTATATCGTCATGTCGTCAAAATCCCCGTCCATTTCGGACACGAGTGCCCCGGGCGTACGGGAAATACACGCACGAATGTTGTTTATATTACCCTGTATATAACTATTTAACTTAACTAAATCCAATTTTAATAGGAATATAATAAAGTTTATAATGGCCAAACCCCCAGATGAACAATAAAATTTAGATGAAATGTTATCTAATAATAAACTGAGATAAGATTCGATTTCGAGTTCGAAAAATATTCCATTATTATTATTAGTCTTTAATATGAAAAAAAGGTAATAATTTCAGAACATTAGTAGTAGTATTAGTACAACAGTAATATTTTAAGATTATTTTTGAAAGACAGCATTGTAAATGCTCTATTACCGAACCGGTGTTGTAATATTAGATACACAAATAGATATTAAACCTATGCAATGAGTTGTGCAAATAAATAAATAAATTTCGGTACATATTTCTGTCAAACTGGTTTACGTTAAAAGAATTGTAACAAGCTATTTTTGTCCTAATAGGATTTGTACAGGTGATGGGTTCTGCTCCAAAAACCTTGTTAAGACCAAAATAGCTTTTGTAAATTAGGAGTGACCCGCGAATTACTGTATTAGGAAGATCTGTCAACTTCATACTGTATTCTCTTCATATAATGTATTCCCGTTAACTTATGGCAACATTATTAAATAATTGATACCAACGGGATACCCTAAATGATTTAAGGTACTTGTTTGCTTAGCTTTCGTATCTTAATAGCTTAACAATTTATAATGATATATTTGGGATATAAGAGTAACTCAGTCTACTTTTATTCCGATCAATAATTATAACGCGAACAAAGGCGCGAAAACTATCTAGTATAGAATACTTATAAATGCGACGACCAAATAAAAATCCTTCTCCACAAATAATGCTACATTGAGCAATGATATTTCATAAAGTTAATGTAACAGTTATTTTCCTTTTAGAAAACCGACATGTATGACGCAATTCGGGAACAGAAATTATTTTCGTAAAAAACTTGCCACTAACGTTATCAGCGGAACACGCGATATGGCCCAGTGACTTGTCTACACATCGCATGTTATATTTTATATCTGTGCCACTAAAGTTGAGTTTTGTGGAGGTGATTACCGTCAAATGCGTCTTGGTCACAATAACGTATGGGGACGTGATTTGTTGACAAATACTCGTGAGCCGAGTTCGCGTCTTGGGACCAACGAGCTTTTCTTTTTGTTTAAAAATAATGATAACAGTGCACTTGTGATCAAATATTGTACGTGTGGAATTTTTTATTTCTCTTAGACATTGGTCGATTAATTGTTCTGTTACTATTACCAAGTTTTCCCGAGCTTGATTATTACTGGTAAAGATTATATTATTAATTGGCATAAGACAATTACATATGATTAGTAACATTACTTTACACCATTAATATTTCTACAAATAATAAATACAAAAAAATACATTAAGTATAATACATTGATGTCTTTAATTTTTCCATTCCTGTACATTAAAAAACTTATTCCATGTGTATGTATGGTACAGAGATTGTTAGAGAAATTGATACTTATTAGAAATCTAGAATCAATTTGGGTCGTATACCTATAGCTTATAAAAAGAATTAAAATCGTTTTAAAATTGGCTAAGTTTTGTTGATCAATATTCGTTAATTTTTGAAACAACACACAATGCAAGTCCTTGTTTTGCATTGGTCTGGTTGCATTTTAAGAATGGCAATTATTAACGACATTTTTTTTATAATTAAATTAATTATTAAAGCATATTTCATTATTTACATTCAATTAAGAAGAACATGCAAACAACTAGAGCACTGATCTTTTAAAATCAGAGTAACATAGAGATACGAGGTGTAGGTACCTATACCACTAACATTATACTATTCAATTTAACGAATAATAACAATCCTAATATCTAAGGATCTTGTGAAAACGGCGTGGTCTTGAAAGTAATTGTTGAATGTAAAATATATCAATAAACTAAACATCAGTATTAATATCTTACCGGAATGCAAAATTATAGTGAAATCCCCGGGAGCAATGACTATATGACATATATGTACAACTAAAATAATATATCTTGTCAAACAGACATAGTATTCACAGTCTGGCCAGTATGCACCGAACAAATAAGATCACAGCACTAGTATTAATAACTGAAACAGACCAGTGAAAAGCCAATATTGCTTCGTACAAACAGTTTACAGTTTAAAGTTGACATGCATACGACTGTCGACGGATATCAAAGTGCTCGGACCTCCGGGCAAACAAACAGGGCTTATGTTAAAAACGAATGTAAAAAGAGTTACGTAAATGTTTTTTTAATATATTTATTTTCTGTTTCAGTAAAAAGTAATAAATAGACTTTGTGTGACACGAGTTTCAGAGGGGTTCAGTATATTGTGTTAACGTATTTTAAACCACAATATAATTTATGAATTTAAAAATATTTCCCTAATATTAATAAAACAGCAAAATATGTTACATCATACAAGAGACGGGGGTGTCTTGCAAGCGTATAACGAAGAGGACAGGGGTCAAAATATCTTGAAATTCATAAGAATTTTTTTGCGATTATTTTTTTTATTGTACTTTATTATTTTCTAATACTTACTTTTGTATATTAACAATGAACAAAACAAAATACGCCGAAAACTGGAACTATTCGGAATACGTAATTCCTCTTTAATTTCGGCCGTTTTATGATAGTCTATGACTGGAAAACGTCATTTGGTATTAATCATTTCATAGTATAAAACAAAGACGTTGTCACTGGCTGTCCCTACGTATGCTTAAATTTTTAAAACTACGCAACGGATTTTGAGCCGTGGCGAGTAGCCAATAATTAATAAAATAATGGAATAGAACTATACTTGCCTGGATGAATAGCCACGAAGTGACAAGCGCAAGACTGCTGTACTGTCCGTTAAATCGATAGTGATACGCGTAGAACGAGTAGTGGTATAAGTAGAAGAATCTGTTGACAAAGAAAAATAATGGTCAGTATTAAATTTATGAATTTCCTTAATATATGATCTTGATGGGACTGACTAACAAGCTAATGGGCGGACCATTAGCTTGTTAGTCATTCGTAATAAATGGTAAACGACGTCTATATATTAACAGCACGACGGACATCATCTCACGCATGTAGCCCTATGTGCTGCCATTTTGGAGGATTAGAATATTATGCCTCCTTCTCCAGTAATTTCACTGCTATATCTCACCCTCAATCGAAACACACCTAACAAAGCAACCTGCTTGGTAGCTGAAATAGAAGAGAAAAGTTATTTATACGACTTTATACAGTCTACCCCATGTAATATATATCTATCCAGTGTAATAATATATGTCAACATATCATGTTGTTTCTGGCGTGTAAATGGTAACTATGTAAATGTTTATGCACCTTAAAAATACATATTCAAATATTAGGTTCTACTGTCATACCATTATCTTGACAAATATTTCAATTATTACAGAACTTGTGTTGTCATGCCTCTTTTAAGATCAATTAATATTAAAAAGTCATATTTTATTAATTGTTCGAACAAAATTAGGGAATTCTACAATCCACCCAGCTTGTTTAGTTCTTAAATACGACATAAAAAGAATAAGAAGAAAGAAGGTTTATTATTATACTAACAGTAACGCATACGGAAAAAAAACCTTTAATAAAAATAAGCTAACCAAACTACTTACTGCTACTTAGTTGGAATGTGTCTTTAAATCGCAATATGTTCGCGCAGCTGTCTGGTACAGTAAAGTAGTCGCTACCCGTTGGTACCGCACATAAACTGCTTGTAAGCCGGTATCCATAAACCTTTGTCTGGGACTATCTAGTTACGTGGTGTCGTGCAGCAACAAGTATCGGTGGACATCATTACGAGCTTATTGAATGGAGCGCCCGTTCTCATGATATTCTACACCCTGTAGCCGATCAATAGGGTAACCTTTACGGGACCTAGAGTTCTTATTTTTGTAACCTCTCCATTGAAAATTGTTTGTTTCTAATATTTTATTGTACAATAAAAAACTTAATATGAGAGAATGTACTGATCTTAAGAAATAAAATGTACAATTTCATTCGACCATTTTGTAACTCCATATGAACTGCAAATTGTCGAAGCTGATATATGAAATGGCTTTATGTAAATTAATTTTAAAGAATGAATCGATTCCCTTTTTTATAAATTCTGCATTCAACCTGTCAATCCAGCAATAAATCGTATTATATAAATCTGAATCGTTTACACAAAAAACACGAGTCGATATTTTATTTTAACTTTCACGTTTCAATTTATTATAATTTCGAAATATGAAAATACTTTTTCAATCATCAACTACTCTTTGCTGTGACACAATTAAATGTGAAAATTTCTGCAATATAATTACTTCATATTTCGAATATTGACAAACGTTATTTATTTAGACGTAACCTATGACTTCATTCGATTGTTCACTTAATCTATTCATTAAAATATACATATCTATAAATATTTGAAATGCAATAGATGCCATACAATAGCCAGGGCCAATCTTATATACTATTGTACAGGTATCATTAGGTTCGTTATCTGCTTATTTCGGTGGATAAATTCCGAATGTGAGGAGGGCGACAAACGGGCCCGGAAAAGGGGAAATGTCACCTCGTTATCTGAAAAGGTTGCAATTTTATTTGAAATCGATATTCAGTGAGATATATTTTTGTGTGGAGTAAGTGTAAGAGGAAGTCGCTTCGTGCTTTGTCGTTGGCAGACGTTTGCCGGTTCTTTCTTATAAGGCTCAAGCTTTTGTTAGTGATGTCATGCAACATTGATACATCCAGAGTTATATGATATTTTGTTTTGAGCATAAGACTTAAAAGTAAGATACGATAAGAATACAAAATATAAAAATCTTAAATTCATTCTAATATTATACATTGTAATGGCTATCTGGTTACCTTTCCATGGCCAAAATGATCATAATGAAATTTATGATGAACATAAACTATCTAAAATAAGCATATAAAATCACGGGAATCAGCTAGTAAGATATAATGACACAAACTTATGTTTAAAGAAAACAAGTTATTACATAAATCAATGTAGAAGACAGCAATGGGCGGTTATTTATTTCTAATTCTAAGAAATCGTCAATGCAAATATAAAAACGTTTGCTACGGTGCTACGATGCTACGTAGCTCGTGCTACGATCTTTTTCTATAAGAGGTAGACTCTATTACTAAGCTACTTAGTTCCTACAGTTTTATTCCTCTTGAAATTGTATTGTTCTTTGTTCTCCTAGCAACTTTACATTAAAAACATATTTGTAATATTTCTTATACATTTCTGACTTGCAACAATAAAAATATTACAGCTTCTTGAGACTTGGCATGCGGAAATCGTACTCTAGAGGTACAGGGAAACAATAAATATAAAAATATTGAAATGTACTTATTCATAATAAATTTCGTGTATTAACACAAATTTAAGTAAATAAATATAATTACATATATATAATAATACATAATGAATACCAGATACTTGAATTAAATAATTACAAGTACAGCTGTGTCGTAGCACAATAATAGTTAGTTAACCTACAAGCGACACCGCCTAATAAGATTAACCTCCCCAACATACATAAATGAATAACAAGTAAACATTAATACTATATATTAGATGTGCGTTATTTAACAGAGTTAAATTAGACTTATTACGTTATATGGAAATATGGAATAAACGTAGAGTCTACGATTAACATATTGATATGAACACAACACTCCCTAATTAGTCGTTCGTGATTAATCCCAACTCTACATACACATTCGTTCATAGGGTTGTCAGTATTAAATTATTTGGCCTCATACGACCAAATAAGAGATCTGATAAAATGTCGTATAATAGCTTAATTTTGGACTACTAACCTTCTCATCCGATTTATGTAGAAAAAAAAACTCGCACAAACTTGTACAAGGATGAAATAGTACTCGTACTCAAGGTCAAAAATCTCGTACATGTACGATGATTCTCTTAGGGTTGGCATCCCTGTATATATCGATTAATTACGTAGTAGTGATGAACACATTAAGATTATATAGATTTAAACGTACGGAGTATAAATTGTATAAATATTTCAAATATCTAACACGTACATTAAAAAAAATTATCGTAATGGTAAGTTTATTTTATATCTGTATAAGAGATCAACCGCCGTAAACTACTTTTATAATTTTTCGTGCTCGTAGATCGTGCTTGTGGAAGTTATGAAAACGGAATCGCATGTCGTGTTTAGGGATAGAAAATATAGCAATACGTTATCTATTTTTCTGTTTGATTGGAATGACAAACAAACTAATGGTCTAACATATGGTAAGCGGTGAACGTCGCGTATATACATAAAAAACACCACAGACATTACGTCATCATGCGACACCTCTGATAGCACACATGCGTTGCTATTTCGTAGAACTAAGATGTTATGTCTCTTATACTATAATTTCATTCCCAAATATATGATCAAATCACATTTTAGACAGCAGCTGCAATAGACGAAACTGAGGTACCTGCCTGATGACTTTTTACAAAGTCTGCCTCGGGAAAATATTAATATATTTACTGGTACAGATAATACAAGACTATAAAAATATAAAACTAATATAGTATAACTAATATTGTATAAAGGTATATCCCAACTTTAATCAGTATTTATGCTCTGTTTACTGAGTAAGACTGAATATACAAATAACTAGAAACGAAACAAAAGAAAACATTACATAAGATGTTGCTTGTAAAAACATCTGGCACAGAGAAAAAAAAGTGATGCATCGATTAAGTTCTTAGTCAACAATTTCACGGGTACGCCTGCGAATAATTTAAAGCGAGGGGAGGAAATCAAGCGAATCCAGTGTCCGGTGCTAAGCGGCCTCGAAGGCGTCGCTCCTTTGAACGACATCAAACGAAGATTACCTACACATTAAACATACATGTGAAAAAAGAAGCAAACGGTGTTTCCTTAATGTTATTTCGCCTATAAATATTTCATTAGCCGGATAATGGAAAATTTTAAATACATACTCTGAAATCAAATAGTTTTTACTGTTTACAATGATTACACAACGTTGAAAACGTAACATAGTGTATAAATAAAAAATACTAAATAAGCAGGTAAGAAAATTGTTGTTTGAAACTGTCTTGACTCATTATAAAACTGTCAATAATTCATAATAATTTATTAATTCTATCATTATACATTATTTAAAATACAATAACTACGACTATAAACAGATAAAAAGAATACATTAACTATTATGACATCACAAGAGAATAAACAAACAAACAGCATACTATATTTATATTACATATAAAGATGATAGATTTTACTTTTGATGATATATTTGTAGTGGATTTATAATAAAATACAGGATCTATTTTAAATATTCTTTCATATATAGGCTATGTATAGTCACATTATCTGCAAGTAACATACTAATACGCCATATTTCACTACAACCGCGTCGCGGAATATACTTAGTGTAATATTCTCATGTTTTGAAATATGCAATTTAAAACTGCACAATCTTTAAAGGTACCATGTGGTGCAATTCGTAGCATTATAATAATAGGCAAACAGAAGAAAAGGCTCGCCGCCGGGAGCCTATATAAAATATCAAGAGTCGAATGCCCATTTACAATTTTCCTTATTACCATCAAAATTATTCAGAAGCCGGATAAGGGAGGGGCGAGACTGAATCTTGTTAAACTAACTCAGTGCGAAATCACTTTCGCCTCGGCCTTTGATCTCGAGTGCGCCAAAGGAATGTTATTCAGTAAAAACATGCAAATTCGATAAAGTATAACACAATATTATGGAAAGCAGCTGCCGTTGCTGCGACGGAGGCAGCGATGTCGCGAGCGTCCACATAGCGGGCATCGTCCACACAACTCAACATCTCAAAATTATGGAACACCACCATACAAGAAAACCGATAGC